TCCACATGACACCGGTACATCAGGCAAAAGACCCTGATCTCAGCAAGGTCAAGATAGAACACTCATATCAGTTCAGAGCTTTTACCCCACTCAGCAAGGATCCATGAGTCACTGTGTATTTAATATTCCACACACAAGCATATTAATTGGAAGTAATTTTATAAATACGTATTGAAAGATACACAAGCAATCTTTCATCAGCCGAGCTCAAAGATTTGCTGTCCCACACAATTTTCAGAGGTCTTCAGGAAAGATTTTCTCATCTTTCATTCTCTAATCTGCAAATTCTGGGAACAAAATACATTTTCTTTTTGGCTCTTTTGGGAGCCAAATGAATGACAAGACAAAAATTACTGAGCTTCTGAAGTATGCATCATAAATGAAAGCTTCATTTAATTAAAAAAAACAAAAAACAAAAAACAAAAAACAAAAACAAAAAACAAAAACAAAAACCAACAGAGTAAAGCCTTGCTTGGAATTTGTCTTTTCCTAAATCTGAGTTCCAACTGCTTTGGCTCCTCGCTTGGGAGCAGGCCGTGTGTGGAGCAGGGACTGTCTCCTGTTACTAAAAGCAAAGCGTCTTCTGTTTAATTTTAAAACTCCTCATTCCTCAACACTTCTCACCGTTGCTCTTACTATGCAAGAAGCTTCTGCATTTGGACAAATGACAAAGGAAAATCCAAGGAAAAGGATTTGAAAGCAGGCAAGGGACACTGTTTTTATTAGAGATCAAAAATAAATGTCTTATAAACCTGGGATAAGAGATAGGAATTGAAAGGAAGGAAACTTGGCACACCAAAGCAGGAAATGTATGAAGTGCAAAAAAAGGGAAACTTCCACCACTCAATCCTGCTAAGACTATTTGATCCCTGAAGACAAGAACACAAGAGCCAGAATCTGAAATGAGAAGGGTGGCTTATTTAACAATTTGCTATGTTAACAGACTAACAAGAGACATGAGATGAGGCATGCTACCTGGAAAGTTTGGGTCATGGACGGATGGGCTGCATCTAAATCCTACTGCCTGCTCGGGAGATGAAAAGACACTTCCTGTTCTTAAATAAGCAAAAGCAATTCTTCTCTCAAAAATCTGTTAAAAGAAATACGTACATTACTTAAGACTTTTCAAGCTAGCTCCTTGGTTTGTCACAAGATACATCTGTTGTGCTACACAGGCTTTCAGCAAACACTGCTGCAAGTGCACAGGTATCATTTATTACCCTGTCTGCCTTTTATGGGCTCTATTCATTTCAGCCACGTTTACATCAGTATTAGGGTTGTAGTATTACTGCTTGTGTCACTGCTATTGAAGCTGAATTAGCACTTCATGGTGAAGGAAAGCAATCACCCTTCCTATGAGGTGAGGCACTGTCAGCCCTCTATATCAAGCTGTGCCCTTCTATCCTTCATTGTTATGGATAAGTCCTGATGACCATGAAGTCTGTACAGTTCTCTACTACACAGATAAATACTTCCAAGTTTGTAGAGCAAACTTCTGCCAACACAAAAGAACTCAGCCTATGCCTCCTAGTAAAAAAAACAACCACAGCAGAATAGAGCCAATGACATAAACAAAAGACATAAACACTGGAGAGAGGAAGCATGAGCGAAACAAATACAGCCCCAGCAATTGGCAGTGAGGTGCTATGTTTCAGGAACAGGGCTTTTTGTCCGTTTTTTTCTCTGCAACAGAGTCATAAAGAATCATGCACTCCACAGCTATGTTTTGTTATTTGGGGTATATGTGTGCGTCTTTTAAAGACATCTGTACACAACAGGAAATTGCTACTGGTAAGATTTCACGTGTACTTTCCAAAAAAAGTGACACACATCTACAGCTTCAGATACCAGCAAGAAGCATACAGCCAAAAAAAAGAACTACACACCAACTTCAGATCTTCACACCAAAGGCTCATAACTGACTCAACACATGGAGTCAGCGATGGGCAGTGCTAACAGATTGGCACTCTCAAGTGAAGTCAGAAATCCACAGTCTCTGGACACGTTAAATTTTATTAAAAATTAAGAGATTGAAGCAAGAGCAAAGTATGATGATGCCCAGCATCTTACTTGTATTGTATCATTGTCCAGGAACCAGCAAACACAGGTAACCACGATGCCATACCTGAACCATACATCTGTACATACACATTATGGTAAAATGTATTTCAGTGAATATATACAACACACACATACCAAAAGAAAAAAAAAAAGGCAGAGAACAGAAAACAAGTACATTTAAGGGATGTTACAGAGTCATACACAAGCTGGAAAGTGTTGCATTTTCAAATAGAAATACAGCCCATGTTTTAATAGCAATAAGAGAGTAAGAGAACACTTTAGTCGTGATGCTGCCGGTGAGAGGTTCGTCTTAGATCAGGAAAAGGCTTAAATATTCCTCTCCATTCAGAGTTATTTTTAGGAAACTATTTTTTAGGGAGATTGGACAGTGGAGTTTTGTAGGGTTTTTTGGTGTTGTTTCTTTTTTTAAAACTTTTTCCCTTCTATGAAAATACTTAACGCAGAAAAGCATTCTTAAAATATTTTTTTAAAAGATAAATTCACTAGCTCATTAGGTTACGTAGTCATTGAAGTGCAATCATAATTTTCCACTGAGCAAAGAACGAAATTTTCTGTTCACACTTCTGGCATAGTAGCAGTTTTCCACCTTTTTTTTTTAGTTAGTTCTGAATATACGGAGGCAGCTTGCGTGGAACAGAAGCTGGGTGAGCTTCAATGACAGTCAGTTCTCTGCTTAATGCTTACAAGGGGTGGAGAAAGGAGGGGCAGACATATACTAAGGCAGACTCTGAGTTTTCCATCAAGTGTCAACATTTCAACACATTTGTTTGTACCCACAGCACACATGCACACGTTTCTTCTGCAAAAGTGACTCTTGCCTCCAAGGAATGGACTAGGGGAGCTAGGAGAGAATATTCCATTGCAGAATACAAAACATAGGTGTTTACAAAAGCACCAGGCTTGTATGTCTCATTTATGCAAGGCTGTAAATTCCAGCAGTGATGGCTGTGAGTATTTCTGTACACTTCAAGCATCAAATTTTCATTAACCTGGATGTTTGTCAGTTTCTAAATATAAATCCTTCTCACTGAAATTTCTGCTGAGTTACCAAATGGATCAGTACACAAAATATGCATTATATATGTAAGAAATTATGTTGTTACATCTTAAAAGAAAATACAGTTCAGGGTTGTTCCCACAATATAGAGTAATTTAAAGTATATATTTCAACTCTAACATTTCAACATATTTTAACTTCAAGAGCCTTACAGTGATGATAATTTAAGGCATAGTACGATCAAAATTATTTTTCTATAGTAATACATTTCTGTAAGAGAATTAAATAAACACTTATTCTGAAGATCCTTCATATCATCACAATATTAACCCTGGAACAATCCTCCTCCCCACTAAGATTAGGCTTACTGTTTTACAAATAAAACTACTAAGTATTTAAAGTTACCTCTGGGAAAAAAAGATGACACTAAAACTTGCAGCCTTCGATGCAAACAATCTGGCAGCATGATGACTACAGTACACAGCAAAGGTGGAATGCATTTAAAATGTTTATAAATGCTATGAAATTAACATCTTTCAAAGCTTCATTTTCCTTGATGAAATGAATTCTGATCACAAAAGCACTTGAGAAGAAATGAGTGAGTAGTACTTACTTAATGTAACTATGACTCTTGCTCATTATGCATTTTGCTACAATCCTTTCTATGCTCTTACAGACTTTGAATCTTCCGCCTCTGGAAAACACACTATGAAACCAATTTGCAACTGAAATCAAAAAAGTAATTTCAAAGTTATTCCTTCACATTACATTTCAGTAAAGCAAAAGTCTTAATGCTTATTTTTTTAAAGCACTCCCACAGGAAGTCCTAGAGGAAGATTCAGGGCATATACAGTCCATTAAAAAACATCTCAGACACTTCAATGTGAACTGTTCACTGCAAAAGCCTGCAAAAACACCCCACTTCAAGTCCACCCCAGCTTTACAAGCTGGAGTTACCAGTTAATAACTTCAGGCAAGTTGAATTCCTACAGCATTAAACAGCATCAGAGCACTTGGATACTTACAGAGGAACAGCTGAGATAACTTCTTTGTTAATTTCTGTACGTAGCATTCCAGTTTGTTACTGCCTCACCAGAGGGCCAAAACAGAGCTCCTCAAAGGGCGGGGGGAAGCCTGGCCCACGCTATTTCATGGCACCATCCTACCAGCAGCAGGGCCAAACTATCAGACCATAACCAGCTGTGACTGCACCAGGTCATTCCTGCTTCAGTAATATCCACCTTCTTTCAGGTAAATATCTTGCTTGCTTCTAATTGCACTCTAAATTAAAAAAAAAAAAAAAAACACAAAAAGGCACCAGTTTAAAGCAGTATACAATTCACACAGTGTCAGCTTTGAAACTGGCACTGTCCTACTTCAGTTCTTAACAGAAGGTAAAAGCAAACCCCTATAACTGACTAGAAAAACAAGTTTCAAAAAGCTGCACCTAGATAGCAGATTTACGAGAAAGCTTGTGAAGTAGATTTTATTACAAAATAAAGAATCCAATCCCGACAGTTACCAAGTGCTCAGTGCTTCCTATTGCAGCTAGCTGTGAAGTCTCAGAAACCTTCAGAGCACAACCAAAGAGGTGTAATCATAAAAGTCCCTGAAATCAGAAGGGAGGAGAGGAAAAAGGGTAGGAAGACAGCAAGCGATTCTTCAACCTTTGCTACATCCCTTTGAAAAGAGTAACATATGACAACTGAAAAATATTGTTGCAAATGGGGTTCAATGCATTTCACTTGTACTGAACATTGCTGATCTCTTAATACAAAGCCATAGCAGACAGGAATGTTCTGCATACTCTATATAGAAACTTTGGTTCTAGTGGATGTTTCAAGATCTATATGGCCATCAAAACATTTCTGAAGGGAGCAAAGGAAGCAAGCTACTTCTAGAAATAGGGAACAACAAAGGATTTTATTTCCTCTCAAAAATTTTAATGATATTATTAAATTTTAGTTAAATAATGATGCCTAAAAGGACAATGTTATTTCTCGACTGGTACTCACAGTCACAACTGGTGCCTGCTCCAAGTTCCAACAGTGTTAATTTCTGTAAGACCACTTGAAAAAGTAAAGAAATACCAACTCCCTGAATGGAAAGTAAATAAAGCATAGAAGAAATAAACAGTGGAGATGCCTCCCAACTACAGTGACATATTCTTGCTCTCTGAGCCCCTGACATCACATACTGGCCTACTTCTGCCCCCACTGGAGTTTCAGGAATAGCAACAAAGAAAAACTTGTCCCATTTAGTCCTGTGCTGTACTCCTGGGGATTAAAGCACACCAGTTTTGATGGACAATCTGAGAGCAGAAACCACCTAAAATCAAAGTGCACAGTCATATAAACAATGAAGTTACAAAGTTTACAGGGTCAAAACAAAAGCTTCTACTAGCAAACAAGTAAAGACTCATCATCACTTGTACTGATTTCAGAGAGGGGAGCAGAGGACTCTAACATTGGCACTTCCACAGAATGGCAACAAGCCGCATGAATACCCAAAGGCTCCTCCCGATGGGAGCCAGGGCAACACCGGCTTTGTCCATCCACTTGGATATGAACATTCAAGGGGCTATCTGAATAAGCAGACTCCCACTTTAAGGGTAACCTACATGGCTCTTCACTTGGTGGATGACTTCTACTTAAATTATTGCCCTCTAGGACAGTCCTCCTGGGTGCTGACCCTCCATGGATCGCTTCTGTGACACTTTCAGACAAAGGATCTCTGAAAGACTTTCCTGAATCCACTTTATTGGGCTGCTTGAGCTCGCTGCCCGAGGTCTCAGCACCTACAGATTTATCAGCGTGTCCAGACTCAGGCTCTGCTTGCGCAGCAGTGCAAGTGTTCTCTAAGACATTCGAAGGCGATGGCTCTGTGATTTCAGTCTCCGGCTGCAAGGTGCTACATCCAGCTTCTTGCAGGTCACTGGCGTGGGCGTCTGCCTCTAAAGTAGGTCCTTCAGGTGAAGGTGGAGAACTCCTGACAGTCCCATCAGCGCGGTTGATGATTCCATCACCCAACGTCGTCTGCGAAGTGCGGGCAGGTGTCAGGAGCGGGATCTGTCCTCTCACCCGAGGTCTGTGGAAGAGTCTGTTCCAGAGTCGGCCAAGGCGCCGCCGAGACGAGCTTCGTCGTGACGAGTGACGTCTCATCTGCCTCCTCATGGCTGTTCGGATGTTCTGCAGCACGGAGGCCTGTCACACAGAGGCAACCGATTTAGCACACACTCAAAAGACTTCTCCCATAGCTCATTCACTAAGATCTCCATTTTAAGAGAATCCTCCTCATTAAACTTGTACTTTCTAATGAACTACTAAGAATGTCAAAGCTAGCTCTGTCTCTACCAAAACATTCTCCACTGAAACGTTTCCTTAATGAATTTAATTTCTTCTTGTTTGCCCAGCAAGATGCTTCCCACTTGCTATCAGATCACCACCAAAGAACAGGCTGCAGACCACCAAGTCCTCTGCCAACAGAAATAGCAGAGGATTCTCAAACCCTGGTAACAGTGGAGAAAGGCAAACATAGTACTGCTGCACCTGAGTAACAAGCTTCGAGTGCTTTATCACACTTGGAACTGCATCACAGTGGGATAATTTTAACAGTTTGTGAGAGACTTTTGAGAACTCAACAGTAAAACATCAATATGACTTAATGGCTTCCCAGTGTAATGTATTTGTAAATAAAAATTAATTCTAGAGTTTCCCAAAAATACTGTTAGAGACCTACTTTCTTATCACCTCAGACATTCACAGTTTCAGCTTGGAAAGCTCCTTTTCTTTTTTTTTAATTTACTTTCTCTATCTCTGTTCATTCTGTCTTGACATACAGTAAAACAGCAAGTTTTTCTCACTGCTGATCCCTAGCAAATATATTTAATGTGTTCAAAACTACCCACAGCACCAAGATACATGACTATGATTCTACAGCTCAAAGTAAAACATACATATTTCAGTAAGAGCATTTCCATACAGTTAGCAGAGCTTCTCTGCTACTGACAGAACACAGTTCCAGACCAGTTCTATCTTATAGCAGTCCGCCTGCTACTAGGTTCATCAGCACTCATGTCACCATACTTGTGATGCATTGTACACAGGGAAGTCTTCAACTGGGGGGATCAGTCCTTGTGCAATCAGCTGCCCATAGGAAGGTGGAGCTTCCCGACGCACAAATTCTGCCTCAAGTCGTGTCATCTGGGTCTCAAATGCTCTGGGAACAGAACCACAGTAGGAAAAAAAACAGAAGAGAAGTTACAGTCAGTTTGTCCTGCCTCCTCTCACGTTAACGCACAGACACAGAGCAGAGGGCTTCAAACTAGCAGCAAAAAGGCAAATCTTTACCAGTGCTCTGTGCAAAACCTTATCAGGATGCTAAAATTAATAAAAGGAACAATAGTAACAGTGAATCAAATCAGAAAACCCAGTCTGAGTTTGGACTCCGTAGTAACTGCATATTTTCCAATAAGCCAACTTACATCAATAAAGGCATTAATTTGTTCTGCTTATTTTTGGAAAATACAGCATGAAGCACTGCAACAAGCACACATCATGGACAGGCTTGGTGCATATGACAAGAGACAGGCACCAGGAAGTCCCTTCTGACTCTCTCCAAAAGGGCACAACCACAGTCGCACAAACATACAAAGCACAGGCAAAGAAAGGAAATTTCTCAAAATAGTTTTGATATTTGTTAGATTCAGGTCTGGCAGGCTACACAAGAGATGCGTATTTTCCACAGATCATAGAAGACCTGACATTTCCCCTACTTCTGAAAATCTCAACTACTCTTCTCTAAGCCTAATGCAGTGAGTACTACTTAACATATTTCACAGTATTTTCTGAATTCTTTGTTAAACAATTTACTTTTTTTCCTCCTTTAATCAAAGAAATATGCAGTCAGTTACTAAAGAATCATAAAACCAAGATGTTTCTATGTACCTGTATTCTCTAGTCCTCAGGGAATATAATTTAAATGCACAACCCAGTGCTATCACCAGCAGCAGGCCACACACGAGACTCCCGATTAGAGCAGCCGTGATGACCTTCCTGGGAACAATCACCAGGCAGTTGTGCTCATCGCTTCCATCCTGGCAGTCTTCTTGACCATCACAGCGCCAAGTCTCAAAGATACACAGATTTGTCCCACAATGGAAATTCCCTGGCTGGCAAGTAAAGCAGTTTTTTTCATCTGAGCCATCTGGGCAGTTCTTTTGGTTATTACAGCGGTCAAGTATTGAGTAGCAAAGCCCACTATTTCCTTCACATGGATATTCATTCTTCTGGCAAGCTGGACAGTTCTCCTCATCTTTGCCATTTGGACAGTGCCACCAGCCATCACAATGTTGCTTATCCGTGAAACACTCCTCATCACTTCCACAGGGGTGTTCCCAAGGAAGACAATAGCCTTTCACCTGGTAGGTTGCATTGAATCCATGGCCAGTGCTCTTTGAGCGAGCATGATACGAGACTGTGAGCTGGCCCTTTGATGACTCCACGCTCACTGGATGCCTATTGTTGTGAAACGAAAATGTTTGCAGTAATTTATCGCCTCTCTCTTCAATGCCATCATACACCTTTACGTAGTCATTGTAGCCTAACTGCAAATCAAGCTGCAACAGAACATGTCGATTATCTTGTGTATCCACATACCACGTGCAACGAAGGTCTGATTTGCTGTGATCAGCACGGAATAAGTCTGGGGAAGCAAAAGATCCATAAAAATTACCCAGCCTTTTGCCACAGGAAAGATCAGGACAATTATCTTCATCTGAACCATCGCTGCAGTCTTTAACTGAATTACACCTCAGCTCGTTCATCAAGCACTTGGTGGAGCGGGCTACACTGCACTGGAATGTTCCTGAGGGACAGATGCTGGACGGAGGCTCTGTTGGAGGAACAGTGCAGTTTCTCTCATCTGAGCTATCCCCACACTCGTCCATGGAATTACATTTCCAAGTACTGGGAATACACTTTCCATTTGCACAATGGAATTCATCTGACTGGCATGCAGCCTGGCCGATCTTTCCTGTGAAAGAGGACAAGCAGAAAAAAGTCAGTATCAAAACTTTTGTAACCATCCAATGTCACATTTTAATGTCTACCCTCTCTGTGTGTCACAAGTCAATAGTCAGGCCAGTATACTTCAAGAAAACCAGTAAAAAGCTAACTGGAAAAAGTATCAGTGTTACCACGCTAACACTTAATAAGCAAGACTGGTCCCATGACTCTCATCAACAAATACTCCTGTCTTCAAGTTTTACTAGAGTGCTTAAGCAAAGCCAACAAAATTGCAAGGTTTTACCTCTAATATAAGAAAGGCGAAATCCCTGAGACTGTCCTGAGCTTGATGCATCTGAGTGAAAAAATATCCAAACATGATCCCTTGCAGAGATGAAAGATGGAGGTATGGAAGATCCGCATACTTTGTACTCCTCTCTCTTGGAAGATGGGCCAATCATCAACCAATCTACTGCACATTTCTGAGATTCTTCTAAATCAAAGTTCTTAAAACTGTTAAGAACAAAAGAAAACACAAGTAACAAAAGACATTTATCTGGAACAGTTAAACAGTGAAAAAACAGAATGTAGCAGTTGAGTTTCTGCACAAGCAGTGCTGACATAAAGAGATCACATTCAAAGATAATGAAACATCTCCAGTATCTTGCATACACATAAACATTGCATTCAAATTCTCCCAATTTGGAAAAGCACTCATCTCACTGGCATAAACAGTATGCCAAGCAGCTCCAAAATCTGAAAGAATGCATCTCTTATTCAGAGCCTGTAGGCAAAACTACTTCCTAAAACACAGACCTGAGTAAAAGAAAAAATAGCAAAGAACATTATGTGGAAGCATAAAAAATTATTTCAACAATCTTTTCCGACCTTAGAAGCTATTAAAAGATGGCATGAGATTAGAAGCTATTGTATCAGAGTAAGAACAATAGGAAGCAATACAAAGAACCCTAAGGGGACAAAGAAGCAAGACAAAAATCAGTTTTTCAAGCCAGGGATAAGCAGGGAGAGGACAAGATGAGAACAGCAAGAAAGGAAATGGAACATGAAGTCTCTCTAACTGTATGATTATTTAGTTCAAAGAATAACACATTCCCTTTCCGGGAACGCAAATGCAGAGCAAACGAGCTTATAACCTTTCACCATCAAACATCCAGCTCTCGTGCTGACCCAGGGCCAATGGCTATTCCATAGCATCTTACCCAGTGCAAAGAGGTGTTCCAACAGCTGCTGAACACTGAACACAGCCAAATAATACTCCCTAAACTGGAGCTCAGAACCACACTGGGTGTTTGTTCACGCTCTGATGAAACACATTGCATTTGCTTTCAGTAATCTGCAGTAAGGGAGAAGCTTACTGTGAAAGGGCACACTGTCCAAGACACTTAGAACCGTACTGTGTTCTTCTTTACATACCTCAGCTACACACAATTAACTTGGTAACAGTCACTGCATACTCCACACAAACACCTGAACAGAAAAGTCATAGAGACTGAAAAGCTGCTATGAAGTAGGAATCTCCTTCCACAAAGGACTTCTCAGAAACACAGAGGAAGAACTATCTGAAAAAGATAAATGGAAGATAATTTTCTGACACCATGGTGTACTTACAAAAGGCTGTAAAAGCCTGCCAGATCTTGCCCTTTGAAGGTGAAAGGGAAAGAGCAGCAACTTTGTAAACCAGCCAATTCATTTTAGAGCAGTTCAAGCCTACACACACCCCAGAGTTCTGCCAAATGTACTGACTTGAAACATTTTTTTGCAGTTTTCATGAAGAGAATGAAAAATAAGAGCCACCAGGATGTTAAATTAAAATGGAAATTAAAACGTGATCAGCAACTTGTTGGATACAAATATGCCCCCCTCCTCTTTTCTAATTCTTTTTCTCCTATTATGTTCCACATATCATTCCAGCTAGGAAGAATTCTTCCACAGTACCCACTTCCTTCCTATGTAAGCAATTTCATCAAGCTTTAAAAAACAGCTTATTTTGCAAGGGAGTCTTAAGTGAATCTGAAGTCAAAATAAAAAACCTCAAGTATCAACCAGGCAAAGAATTTCTGTCCCAGGTGTTCTACAAAAACTTCCTAATGACCAAGTGTACAAAGAGGCACTACAGCACGAAAAGGAGTTACATGAAGCAGCTATGAAACTGCCAGCACCCACGGAAAGTCTGAGACGGCACTACTGAGCTTCCACATTGGTTCCACTTTCTTTTTCTTAGCTACCAGGCACCACGAAGAGTTTCTATCATCTACTTGGAAAATTATTTGTAGAGTTTTCTTGTCAGAAAGAATTTTTATGGAAATCATTGGAAGTAACTATTTGCCCAACAACATTTGTAACAAAAGGGAACAGTCACTAAACCCAGTAATGGAAGCTCAGAACTTGGGAGTGGAGGAGGGGGAAATAACCAGAAAAACCCTTGCTCGTGTGAAACAATGAGATCATTTACTACATCTTTTAACTCACTTCTATGGAGATTTCAGATGTACCAAGAACAATCTTACAGAGCTGAGCAATTTGTTCTCCTACCCTGCCAGCTCCCAGCACTGCAGCCAAGTCTCAAAGCTCACACATTTTCCCCACTGCACTCACGCTTGGTTCACAAACTCTTCTGCAAATGAGCAATCTACCCTGTATTTGTAGATAATTATCAATAATTACCTCTATTTGCATATTCAGAATATTATACTGCTAATAAAGAGCAAAGAGGAGATACGAATGAAGAAGAAAGTTTAGTCCCACCTTTTAAAGCAGAAACATACAGACGTAACTGATTTTCCTGAGTACTGGCTGTGGATCTGAGATTCAGAACAGAGTCCCACATTCTCCATCCAGAAGCACAAGTGTTGGGCACAAAGCCATCCAAGCACACAAGCGGTGAGGCGGGATATATATGAAGAAGGTAGCACGTTTAACAGCCTCCCTGACAACACCAGCACACAATGCCTCGCTGCCATGCATGAGCTACTGAAACAACTGCCTCACTATTCAGTAAAGGAAGATAAAGAATACTGTCAAGAACAAACTCCTTGTTTTCTCAGAAGCAAGAAGCACCTCAACCACATGCTGGCACCTGAAAGTTTGAAACACACCGAATAAACACAAGTTCTCTGAAATATAAGTGTTCTAGTTTTGATGTGAAGTTTTATATACAGTAAATGCCAGAGCAATTATAAAATTCCTTCAGAGGGCAAAAGCAAAGTCAAAACAATTACATTCCATTTCATGCAGAGTATAACTGAAACACATTTTGCTTCGATTAAGGCACTGTATAACAACTCTCCACAAGCACCCTTTTACATTACACTGTTATCAATGGAAGCAAATTTTGTCCCATCTATATTGATAGTGACTTCACTTAAGACCAAAAATATCATATATTTGAGTGGACTGTCAGTCAATCTCAAACAAAAAAAAATTTACAACAAAATATGAAACAACACATATGCATACATATGCGTGTAGAAATACAGAAAACTGGTTTTCACTTTACAATCCATTTGCAACGAGGTTTTGTGCAAAAAGCTTCTGCCACATTGATCTGACATTAAATAGCCTACTGATTTATTTAACCTAGGAGTTCTGAATAGGGCATTCAACTTCTGCTGCTTCACTTCTTTCATCACCTGTAATTAGATCTAGTGTTGCTGTTGTAGTCTTCTGAAGAATAATTTAATTCTGCTACCCACAAAATAGAGCATGGGGACATTTGCTCATTCACTTGAACTTCCTCAAACAGGAATACAACTTTTTGTGCCAGAAGGATCAGCCCAGCAGCTGAGTGATTGATGGTACAGAGCGTAAGTAAGGGAGAACATCCCTTCTGCTGCTAATTCCTTTTAAAATAATAACAGTAATAGCATACAGAAGTACAATAATAGTCTATCAGGCACTGGGAGCATTCAAATCCCAAGTTCAGAACAATTCAGTGGGAACGGACAAATGTGGCACAGTCTGCTTCTACGGAATACTGCAGAAAGAAAAGGTAAAATCATCTCATTTTTCTTTGAAGGTACGTTACTGGAAACAGGTTACCTCCCACACTGAGCAGGACTCTGGGAACTTGCAAGGAATTACAGGACAGGTTGTGATCAGATCTAGCTTGTAACATTACTGAAATGAAACAACAGTAACTTACAACAACATTCACCTATTAACTGTTAAGTGTTTGCGAACTTCTGGATAGAACTTCACTAAACCAACTTGCCATAAATACTCATTTACACTCTGTAACTAAGATAAAAAGCAGACTACCCGCAAAACTAATCCATAGCAGAGATTTTTGGCATCTGCACCAGAGAGCAGTAGCTACTAGGAAAAAAAAAAAGTACTTGTATAAATAATGTGGGGAATTCCTTACAACCTCTACGTAGTTGAAGCACAAGCAAATACAGATTAAAGCTGGGAAAAGCATTCTTAACTGTAAAAAGATAAACATGGGATGACCATGAATATGAACAAGAATGGTTAAATGCTTCAGACCCAGCAGTTGTAAAACCTGAATGAAAGTAAGAATTTAAAAAATGTCCACCTTGGCCCTCCAAAGTCATTAAATTTGGAGAATAAATATCATGGGTAAATTAGGAGAGTACAGTCCCAAAATAAATCAGAGAGGCCAATTAAGCAAGAGAAGTTACTTCTATTTGCCAGCCTCTCACAGCAAGTGCAGACTGCAAACAACTGATGACTGAATTGGCTCATTAAAAGCTTTTGTTTACTCACTGGAGCACAAGGACCTGAAGTCAGGAAAGCTCTATTCTACTCCCCACTTCCAAGCACCAACCCTGCAACCTTAGGCAGGAGATATGGCTGGTTTTTCAAAAGCACAAGAAACTTAATTAAATACATGGCTATTATAAGTTTTTCCAATTAATGTCAAATTCTGAATCACCATGTTCAGCAAATACAGTATCAAACGGCCCCTTGAATTTGTCCATAAATACATGCCAGAAAGTCTTGACACGAACACGCCTCGGCTTTACTCAAAATCTCAATCTCAGCTGGCACCTTGGCATTTTTTTTCCCAAACCAATGACACAGATCACTGAAGTGAAAGCTGGCGAGGCCTCCCCAGTTAATACAGAACGTGAGAAGGTCACTACGGAAATAATTTCTCAACGCTCGTATCTTGAATTCTGATCATGGAGAACATTTTACTCTCAGTCTCATTAATTCCTATAATAAAATGCAATTATTCATACTGTCCCCACATCAGGGCCAATTGCAACAATCAGATAACAGCAACTGATAAAGAATCTTTTAAAAAAAAAAAAAGATATTTTCATCAGATTGGTGGAAACAAATACACCCTGTTAAGGATGGTGCAAAAAAGCAGTTAAAGGGTATGACATCCCTATTACAGGACTTACACGTGGTCTTCTATGAAAATAAGACCTAAACAGAGAGGAATTCAGACAAAAAAAAAAAAAGTTTCCGAAACAATAACTTACTAATTATCTGAACAACAAGTGACACAATATAATCCTGGAAAACAGTGGCTACATGTGTTCCCAGGTCTCAACAGCACGATCCTATCAGAAATAAAAACTTGAAAGAAAGGATGGAAACGTGCAAAACTAATAAGGACCTGTTATTCTTGCTAATAAGCAAGAAAAACATACTTCTCATTCTTGTGAAGATTCTCCCAGGGATTTCTAAAAAGTAAACTACAGAGCAAAACAGTGGAGACGTGAGGATATGAGACAATCAACACAACCGTGAAAGGTAGATGCCAAAACCAAGCTTCTAAAGGACACATCCACAGGAGACAGGACACAACATCCACGTGTAGATCTGCATACTGCTCTATTAAAAGCTGCTGAATAATGAGCTTATTAAAAAAATGACCACTGACTGCATGTTTTAGAAATCAAAACCACTTTCAGTTGCAATTTTATCCTTCAGTGACTCCTGCTGTATCCCAAATATGCTACTTATATAACATTGCTGTCATACCATCAATGAGAATCCAAGATCAAGGCAAATGTTTTCTGTATGACATAACACAAAGAAGGTGGTATCTTCTGTTTTGTGAACCTGTTAAAAACTAGATCTCACCCTAAGAATTATTTTTTATTTTCTTTGGAATATTTTCTATGCCCCCGTCAGCACACAGCTATGACAAGAAGCATTCCCCACTGTTAAGAAGAAAAAATGTTTTTATTTGAGCCCTGTTTTCCAGTTTCCTAGGCTGGCATGACATAGGCAAAGTCAGCTGCTGCTTTTACATCTTTGGCATTAAGACTGCTACAATATTCTAAAGAAATCCTCTGATGCTGTAACATTTTGTATTTCCTACACTGGAGTGAATCATTTCAAGGACATTTATAGTCAGAAACGTAGCACTACAACACGTCTGCTACCCACAAGGCAAACTACTCCCTAGGATGTAAACACAGCTCCCATTGTTCACATGTGCAGAGGAGGGCAGGATATGGCTTTGTATCCAGTGGCAGAAAACAAACTCATCAGAAAGAAATCTTTCAAAACTATTGCTAATGCACACATTCAAGCTGTGTACACATTATTACTGGTTTCCTCATCTCACTTTCCTTCAATTCTTTACCCTCTGTTAAATTCACACTTGCTAAAGAGATCCTAATTCTAACTAGGAGCTCTGAGACTTTTCAGAGCATAAACTGCAGCACTATTCTCCAGAGCCAAGTCCTCTCTCTCATTTATATGCTTTCTCAGAGCTTCCAACAATCTCTGCTTTGAAATAAACTCTGCAAGTCCAATACAATTTAATGGGGTTGAAAAGCATGTTTCTATTTATGGTGCTTAAATGTTGGCAGGTATCTACTTCCTTACGTTTGATGAGTAGATCCTATTTTGAACTAGGAATGGTGGAGCCCTTCTATTATTCCATCTGTGTCAGATTTGTTTTTAATTGCTGAGCATCTGCAGCTGAAGAGGTTTGTAGTCCTTTTAAGCAGCTGAGCAAAGAATGAGCAGATGGCATCAAATAAAAAAAAAAAAGCACTAAAGAAAAAACAAACAAAAAACCTTTCCCAGGTTTGCTTTTTTCTTTTTTTAAACAAGCAGTTCCTGGTTTGAGAAGGATACTGCAATTATTCAAGAGAAATTAATCAAATTTACAGGTATTACGAAGACAAAAATATCAACAGACTACAAATGACTTGAATATAAACAGATGTCAGAGGTAACTTACAGAAACAAGATAGCAGAACAATTCTAAAATGGAGGTGCCCAACCTGCAACCCATGCTCCAGTATGACCAAGTTTGCTGTCCATCTATTCAGCCACTTGGTAGCTCTGGCAAACAGTTCAACATTGTTACATCAGATCGCAACATACAGCTTCATTTCAGCAAAGCAACCAATCATCCCCACAGAATATCACAAACCATACCTAATTGTTATCATGTCTCCACGATCTCCTTGAATGTACCAGCTGCAGTTTACTGCTGGAGGATAGTTTCGTGGCCAGGAAGGGCTGTAGATGACGCCCCGTCTCTCTGTGTGCTGTTCGAGTTCTCCACTGCAAGCAACTGTTAATAAGAGGGAAAAAATATTGTTAATGCTTCACCTAATCAACAACTCACGTTAGCTACAAGAGCTTTCATCAATTTCTGGGGGTTGCAGACAGATGGGAGTCAACAGTTTCATCCTCTTATTGCTTTCTTCCCTGCCCAGTTTTTAATTAAGGCACCCACCTGAACTGCAGGTAAGCATAACCTGCATTTCAATGCAGGATCAATCAATAACCTTGTATGAATTTACCGAAGGCTACAATCAATATCACCGCACAGATCTGCAAGAGAGGATGTAATGCAGAAATCCTCTTTACCAGCTGCCCAAAGCTGGCTGTGACTCTCACCAACTGGAAAAGATCCATATTCAGTGCAAAGCACCTAGAAGCCCATTTTGCTACAACCTGTTCCTGGATACGTTCCTTCTCCTAACCGGATGACAGACCTGCAGAGTGTCATGGTTAAACCAACAAAAGAAGACAAAAAGTTAACTGGACTTCGATGTCAAATGTTTTCACTGAAAATTCCTGAGTACTTTAAATTCCTCCTGATAACAGATTAAAATTTTGCAGAAAGGGAAAGCTCAGTATTTTCAAAGTCTTTTCAGAGCTTCCTATGGAAAGCTGCAGGCCAATCAAAGCTGCATCAGATAGTTATAATTTGTAATTAAGCAATTCAAAAATGGCAGTGAGCTGCTCCAAGGACAAGTGGGAAAGCTGTTCTGCTGGGAAGATGTACTCTCAGCAGACTACAAGAGAGGAAATTCTCTGTAATGCAAAAGCTGTTCTGAACGCTCTCCAAATATATATTTAAAATTATTTCTAAATCAGCTGACTATCTGGAGCACGCCTTCTGGATTACAGCTGAACATTCCCATTGTTACAGGTTTCATTCTTCCCAGTTTATAATGAAGGGGAAAAAAAAAAAAAAAAGGATGTCTGCACTTTAAGGTAAGTATGCTCTGATGTACATCACAGACTTGCAGCATTGCTTGCACGCAGGCACAAATGCATCATTTTGGGTTCAGAGCCAGGACAGCATCAGCTGCACAAGGATGGGCAAGGTCCCAGCAAAGCCACACGGATGCAGGCACTGCAGGGCTGCCCTCAGAGCCTGGCCTGCAGCATCCCCTGGAAAGCCGGTGCTGGAGCTCACCCATTTGCCCACAGCAAGCATTTCTCAAGCGAGAGCCACGTGAATACAAAGCACGAGGTGAGCAACTTACCTGAGGCAAAACAGAAAGAGCCATTATTTTTACCCTCCAAACAGGGCGTTTCACTGAAATACATGTATGCAATTCCTACTAGTTTCAAAGAGCACAAAAACTTCCCAAACACATAAACACAAGTAAACATCTATTTTCCAAGCAAGTATTTTGCAGTGAAGTGGTTATAAAAATACAAGAAAACCTTTGTTAGCACATGTCTAAAAACAGAGAGGCTCCACACTGGGCACTGACAGCTACAGGAACAAGAAAGCAAATGTAAGACTACAGTACTTGTCAGCTTGGGCTCTCAAGATGTTTCATTACACACACCAAAGCAGCCTACCCAGGCCTTGAGATGTGCCCCTCCACACATCTATCACTGCACACACATCCCACAGCAGCAAGGGAGGACACAAAGCGAGCAGCAGTGCAAGAGGAACTGGGAAGTGCATGTCCTACCGCTGAGTTACTGAAACTTCTCAACGGGAGGGAAACAAAGTGCACACAGAACAAACACAGCACGCAGCACTATCCAGAGGCTTTCTGCAGAGCCTCGCAAAGGTTTCTGTTCCCCTTGTACCAACTTTTGCTCTGGATTAATATGCTGTGTTGACAATAAATACAGCAGCACAGAGAGCAAAACCAGCTCTCACACAAAGCTGGTTAGAGCTCATATTCTGAGGAGTCCCAGAATCCCTGCTGAATCCCTACAAGCACCTTCACTCACATTCATTGCTGCAGTTTAGCAGAGAATTTCCCCAATACTTTCACCTGAGTGCTAGGAAATATTTACAAAAACCTGACCAAAGGCTATGTGACACCTCCCTGATTTCTGAAGTAAGGTCACTAGCAGGTTTTCTTTTCCAGCAACAGTTTCCCAAGTCTTAGCAGCGAACGTGATGCAATGTGACAAGTTTCTCAGTGAGAAACACCTTTCCTTATTAACACTGCACATCTGCCACAAACATGGGACAAGGAACAAGAACGGACAAAGGAAGAAGATTTTTGATTTTAACAGAATGATGGTTGCTGTGAAAATCTGAGGTAAGGGCTGTGCTAAATGTTACTTATGGCAGCCCAGGTGGCCATGGCCATTGTTTCTCAATACCCCGCAGCAGTCTACACTCCTGCCATAAAACAAACATTTCAGACTCACCTCATTCAGAATTAAAAGGAGAATTAATTTTTCTCTCACAATTAATCACTCTTACAGGGACTGCTCAACTAACAGGCTGCTAACCTTATTACCATTGCCAAAACATACGTACACTATTTTAAGGGTATGTGCATAGCCCCCTGAGCCCACGGCGGAAATCTGGAAGGGGACACACACACAAAACTCCTATCTCGTCTACCCAAACCTCACTCTAATTGCCAGGTGCTTTAGACACCCTTCATTTCTTGTCAGTGCTCATTACTATGGCACTTGCAATTGACCAACAGATCTCCTTCCTAATGATTGTCTTCCCCTGTGCACTGACTGCTGCGTAGCAGTGAAGGTGAAGTCTTCAAACACTGCTTCTGAGCAGCTGTTCTTTCACCTGCATAAATGACAACTTCATTTTGAAAGAAAAACCCACACTAAACAGAAAAACCACGAGGGCACACTGCCATACCATACTGTTGGGGTTTCAGTGCTGACAAAGGGGCCTCAATTCCCTTCCTAGTTCCTGTGTGAATTTTGCAGAACCACAAACCCACATGCAGTGCTGTGATACTAAGCTGGGCTTCAGCACAACACTGAGTATGTATCAACCTTAAGGAAATACAAGCCTTCTCAAATTGCCAAAACATCCTAAAGGAAAAGGGAAGTCTCTAAATAGCAAGGCATGCTTCTGGATGAAGAAGGTCTTATAAGCAACAGTGCATAAGAAGAGTAGTGACAACTTTTCTGCAACAACTCTTTGTGCTTTTGCACACAAACACAGAAGCAAAGTGAAAACTCAATTTACAAAACACCCAAAATGGCTTACATTTTCCACATTCTGGATGTTTGATCATTAAAAAGCAAGAGAATATCAATCCCTGTACAAGCAAACCAACCCAACAAAATCTTACTGAGGTGATATTTTTTGTTGTTGTTTAACAAATTCTGAAGATAAACAACAATTAATCTTTTATAGATTTTTTTTTTTTTAAAGTATCATTTCAATGTTAGAAGTGGTTTGAGTTTAGAGTTTTCATCAAGAAGGATGAGAGAGCTGGGTTTTTCAGCCTGGAGGAGAGAAGGCAGCAAGGAGACATCACTGCAGCCTTCCAGTATTTAAAAAGGCATTATAAACAGGAGGGAATCAGCTTTTTACTTGGGTAGACAGTGATACAAGGGGGAATGGTTTTAAGCTCGAGGAGGGAAGGTTTAGATTGGATGTCAGGAGGAAGTTCTTCACAGAGAGAGTAGTGAGGTGCTGAAACAGGCTGCTCAGAGAGGCTGTGGACGTCCCATCCCTGGAGGTGTTCAAGATCAGCTAGGATGGGGCCCTGGCAACCTGGTCTAGTACCTGAACTGGAGGTTGGTGGCCCTGCCTGTGGCAGAGGGGTTGGAATTTGGTAATCTTTGGGATCCCTTCCAACCCAAACCACTCTTATGATCCCACAGTAAGATGAAAAATCTTAATATGAGGCTCTTTCAGTAATGATCAAATGGATTTCTTATACTGCAAACAGCAGTAAATTTCTCCCTCCAGTTAAATACGCCACTAATTCTTGCTACTAAAAGCTTCCAAGAAATTTTCCAAAACATTACACAGAAGGTACTAGTCCTATTCTTTGCAAGAGCAACTACAACAGATACCACACTTCACCAGAGGACAGCACAGCTTGTTTTGGGGTTACTAAGCTGTGCAGGAATAAATAGGGTGAGAGCAGAGACAAGGGAAGTGGTGGAGTCACCATCCTGGAGGTGTTAAAGAAAAGGACAGGTGCAGCATGGACAGACACAGGTTAGTGGGCATGGAGGGATGGACTGCTGGTTGGATTGTGGCCTTTTCCAACATTCATGACTCTATTCCATGAAATTTTTAGATGATCCCAGCAGAAGATCAACCCTGCATCTTTGCACCCTTCTGTAACAGGGAGTACACCTCAACCATCTGCTCCAGACTAAGAGAAGCCACAAGGAGCTTTCTCTCAAGACTTCATGTTTAGCAAAATATGCCTTCTTAACAGCTACCTCAGGGCTGGCAGAACACTCTCTCCTCAGTTCTCTAACTGCTCCCTCAAGGAGTGCTCTCACACACTGCTTAGCACAGACCCCTCATGCCTGTAGTCTGAAGGCTCTCCCTGGTTTTATCCACCACACAGCCAGCTGCTGCTCCCCCAGCACCAGCACACACACAGCTCGCTGACCCTGCAGAACCTGAGCACTCTGTGGGACCAAGAAGCAGAACCTGCTCTACTGAGGCAGGGGAAGAGCACATGGTGGGAGAACTTCTCCCTTTCAGCAGAGACAGCTTTGATGGCTTGAAGTGTACGAATACAGCTGAGAAGGTGGCTTGACCTGTGATCTCCAGAAATTTTTATTTCTGCCACTGCGAGCTTTATGAAGAGAAACCCCACAACACCTTTCTGTAAAGATATGTCTGTAATAGATGCTTCGTAAGGATACGTTTGGGACAGCAACCGCCCCCCTCCACTTTTATTATGGCTGCTAAGGAACACCTCCTTCAAGAGGGTTCTCAGCAGAGTTATCTGCCTTGCAACTGCACTACCCTTACCTGTTATCTTCCAGCACACAGGAAAACAAGATATGAACTGCATTATGGCAATGACCTTTTATGATCATTTTTCACACTGCTCCAGTTACTATGTCAGGATTCAGAGCAACTCAAAGCTGTATCAGAGCAAGAAATCATGAAGGCTACAGTATTACAAGGTTTTCCGAATGCTCGAAAGAATAAAAGTAAAATGTTACAACCCTGTTTCTAGCAAAAGGACAGCATTGGAAAAGAGCAGAGCCAGCAGGAAGAAGTGTTACGTATTTGAGGCTGAAGTAGTAGCAGCAATCTAGACTGTATAATTACGCAAGTTACACTTTGTAAACTTAAATACCATACAGGCAGGGGATGCCAAACCCCATCAGAAGCTAAGAACAATCCTGGCAGAACAGATCAAGACACAGATCACATTCTGGTCTTTTTCTAATAGAAGAATGGAAATATAGTATTGCAAACAACACACACCCCATGTGGTGCATCCAAGCTACCCTAAAATAAGCTTAAGGAAGTCATGTAATCATACAATTACTATCCTTTCCCAATTTAAATCTTCTCTCAAAACTCCATGTCGATTTGAATACTCAGACTCTCACATTAATCAAGCGACTGCCTTAGAATTATTTTTGTGTTTTCTCATTTCCATTTCTCCTGCCTCCCATATTTGGTTATTATGTTTTATTTAAGTTGTAGCCTCTTTAGGCTTAAAGTATGCCTACCAAAGTGACTGTGGATTGAAAGGCACAAGAGTACCCTTATCACTAAGAGGACTCTGATTATACTCCTCCAGTAACGTCAGTAAGCCACAGTACTACTACAGAGAAGGAAATTACACTAAGTGCCAGGACTCTGATTGCATTTCCACTCTAAGAATCAAAAGATGTTCTTAACATTCCGGTTTTAGCTCCTCTGGGAATGGGCCTCTGCCCCCAGCTTGATGTTCCCAGGCACATCTCCTAAACACAGATTTTCCCCCAAACATATCAGTACATACTGTGACCTTGGCCTCAAGCTTAAGATTTTTTTCCAACACAGAGACACTGTCTCAGAACACTGACGGAGTCCAATAACCATTCCAGCAAGATTTGAAAGTTCTAAGCTTCCTAAAATGTCACTGCTACCCTTTCTCAAGCAAAGGTCATACTGCTTTGCTTAAACAAGTCTTCAAACAGTAAAAGAACAGTAACAACTTCAAAACAACAATAAATATAAATAAGAAAAGTGTATCTTACCTAGTGAGGTAACAGCACTTTCTATTTTCCCAGTCAGAAAGAGATTCACTGTAAAGATAGAAAGAAAAAATGTTACCATAGGTTCCAGTGGCACAGTGAGGCAGTTCATAGTCTGCCGTTTCTAAGTGTTTGCTGCCATGTTTATATAAAGGTATTACAGTCTTCCAGTAAGAATTCTATTTATCTCCACTGAGAATTCACATGAATCAACTCTCAACTTTCAACAAACAATATCAGTTCAGCATCAATCAAATATGCTAACAAGAGAAACGACAACTCAGTTGTCTTTTGTGGGATTTTTTTTTTTAATTGGGGAAGACAGAAAAACAATCACACTACAACATCCACAATCACAGCTGGTCACTTTAACAGCTCAAATGTTGTAAAATAATTTATAAGGTTATCTTGAAATGCATCCTCGCTGAATAAAGCAGTTTGTTCCTATCAGGTAAATGTCACCTTGAAAACAAGCTGCAAAAGCAAACACAGTTAACTTGGCTAATCAACAGCAATGAAGTTTTTTAAAAAGCCTATTAGTGACATCAAAGCAAGATGAGATTTGCAGGGTGCCTGCAGTTCACATTTGCCTTCCAGGCGGGTCTTTAGATGCTCCCCACTTTCTCAGAAGTCTCCTCTCAGAGAATACACTGTTAGAACGATCTTTAAGAGGGGCCATCACCAACACTTTTTCCTGTGCTGTTGTTACTGCAGAGCTCAGTGTAGCACACACTTCCACTGGAGTTTCCTCGCAGATTCTTCAAGCCCTTTTCTGGTGATTACACTGCATTTCACTAACTGCTCTCATCTTAGCAGTGTTCTGTAACCTACAGTTTACTAATGACATGACAAACACTAAAGCAAATTAGAAAGGTTTAAAAGGTTACCAACACTTAATTCACAACACCCCAGCCAGGCACCCTGTTGGCTTAATTTTGCATGTGTTAAATCCAAAATCTTTCTATAGCCAATCTGCAGCAAGCGTTTAGAAAAAAAACACCATTAAAAAATGAACAATGGAAGAGGAACTGTCTGTGCTCCCAGCAGTGACTGGAAGCCACTGACAATTAGCACTATTTCTGTATCATGGAGGCATGCTGACTTCAGGCCCTTTTGTCTTAGCACCGTTAAAACATCGCAGGACAACAACCCTGGCTCCAACCACCTTCTGGCCTGACAGACCAGCACAAGGGAAAGAAGCTGCGGAACAGTGCAAGGGAAGGAGGGCAGCTGAGGAACAGCTGTAGCTTCAGAACAAACAGGCTCGAGCTACTCATTTGCACTCAAAAGTATCAATACTATGTTCAAGGGATGTTAATAGTGCTGATTTTATTACATAATTAACGCACAGCAGCATTTATTACACAACCAGGCCAAGGCACTGTGTAACCACACTGTGCCAGGGGCAGCTCCACACCTGAGCTGCACGATAGGTCCTGGCCCACAGCAACACTGTGACACAAAGTTCCCCCATGTGGCATTAAGCACCGCTGTTCCTGTAACCATAGTAATTCAGTCACACAGACTGAGAAGACATCAGCCAGCAATTAAGTCACAAATTGACAGATGTTATGAACATTAAAATATTTTGCTCCTAAGTATGTGAATGTACTCTGTCTAACAATAGGCAGAGTATCATCCTAACCAGGCTCTGTCACTGCCTTTCTGCACATGTCCTGCCTGAGTTTTCCCAACATGACAGAACAAGCTCCAAGCAGAGGTTCCTGAGAGGGGTCCTTCAGGAGGAACTTGCAGCAGGACAGGGCTAGAGGGAAGAAGCAGCACACATGGAGCTCCCAGCTCCATGTGACAGCTCAGCCAGCAGCCCTGAGCACAGCCAGGCAGACAGTGATGGGCAGCTCCGCACACCTGGCAAACAGAGCCCTCCCTACACAAACCTACTGGCTGGTACTGCAGCTCTCTCTCATTTCCAAGTTGCTCCATAACAAGCAGCCAGTAGTTGAGAACAGTTCTTCAGAACTGCCTCACATCAGATGCTTTCCTCAACATGGTCCCTCACTGTTCCCCACTCCCACCCAGGCCCTCAGATCAGAGCACTTGCCCTGATGCACTCCCAGGAGAGACACCAGCCCTGCTATTCTGGTTATTCATCCACTTTCTGCATTCTCCAGCATTTCTAAGGAACAAGGAATGAAACAGCCTCACCAAGAACAGCTGCCACAAAGCAGCTCCACACTGCGGCTCACAGCTGAAGTCAAACAGCCACAGGCGGCAGCAGTGTGTCTACAGAGACACGAAACCCCACAAACAGCCCTAGGAGAACAAAAAGTAAAAGCGGAGAAGGGCTGGAGAAGTGAGAAACAGGAACTGAAAGCAACGACAGACCGAAAGGCCAGGCAGGCAGGAAGTAACACACAATAACAGCTAAAGCACAGTGCTCTTGTGGGGTCTTCACTGCACAACAAGTGATAAGCTTCCCCCCTCCCCTGCTTGTTAACTTTCACTACTGTGCAAGGGACAGGCACAAAGCACTGCAGAGATTTACCAAACTTCCGACCTCATGCCACCTCCAGAGAAGGACACAAAGTGCTCTCGCTTGGACTCTGGAACTCGCATGATCTTCAGTGACAGTATTAGTCACTTTTAGAACAACTACACTATTTTTATTAAATAACAGAAGTTTTCACAAAGCTCTGACCAGGCCCCAAGAAAAATAAATGGCTGGAACTTATATTTTAGACTCAAGAGTCCAGCAGGCTCTGCCCTCATGCTGCACACACTTCTGGCAGCCCTTTATGTCTCTGCAATACAGCAGCGGCAGCAGGCAGAGATGTTTCAGCTGCTCTGAAGCTTACAGGGCTTTATGCACTGTATTTCATAGTTAACACAGAGATGTCTTTAGTCACCAGAGCAGTCTTTAACTTTCCACACTTTCCTGGGCAAGCGCTGACATTAAAAACTTCCACAGAAAGAGAATAAGCAGTACGGCCACTTCTGACAGTTTATGTAACTGATGCTGCCTATCAGTCGGCATTACCAAACACAAACCCGCTTTATCAGCAAGCAGCAGAGGGTTTCACACAGTTCCGCGGGCAGTACGTTTATCAGACAGCACTCAGAGCCCTCGAAAGAGCTGGGATCAGCCCAGCACAGGCCCCTGGGACAGGCAAGGGCCGGTAACCCCAACCGCCGGGCTGCCGGCTGCGGGCACAGGGCAGCACAAAGCCCCAAGGAAAAGTGCCTTCCCCCAGAAAAAGGGCTGCCCGCTATCGGCAGGGGACGCGCCTCCGCGCCGCCACAACCCGGCACCTGCCGCGGGAGGAGAGCGGAGCATCGGGGAACGCGTTCCCCCCCGGCCGCTCACAGCGGCGACGGGCGGTGTCGCGGTTCAACTCCTTGGGGCATCGCTGCCGTCCAAACTTTCTTTTTTTAAAGCTCCGCATGGGGTCACCGTACTAGACTCAACCCAGGAGCGAGACACGCGACCCGGACGGAACGCGGCTCGGCCCGCACAGCCCCGCCGGCCCGGCTCCCCCCAAAACGCCCGCAACGCGGCCCCGAGCCCGCCGTGCCGCGGAGGCCTCCGCAGGTGCCCGCATCCCGGCTCCGTGCCCGGACGTGCCCCGCGGGGAGCGGCCGCCGGCACTCACCCAGGCAGATGGCGGTGAGCGGCACCAGCGCGCCCTGCCGGAGCTCCGCCGCCGCCGCCGCCTTCTCCATGGCGGGTCGCCGCCACCTGCCCTTCGGCAAAGGGGGGAAGCGCTCGCTTCTACGCCCGCCCGCCGGCCCCCGCAGCCCGGGCGGCCGGCGGCGGGGCAGCCGCCTCCCGCCGCAGCCCCATGGCCGGGCCCGCGTTCACCGCTCCGGGGCAGGTGGAGGAAAACGGAGCGCAGCGCCGCCGCTCCACCGCCGCCGCCCCACGTGACGGCCCAGCCGCGCGGCTGCGGCGCTCGGGCCGGAGGACGAAGGGAGCGCCGCCCCGCTCCGCGCACACCTGGGGGCCGCCGGCAGGCGGAGCGCGGCCCGCGGCGGAAGGGAAGGCGAGGGCCGGGCCCTCCCGCGCGGCGCCGGGCGGGCGGCTTCCTGTCAGGCGCGGCCCGCTCCGCCGCGCGGCCATCGCGAACCCCGGGCCCCGCGGCGCCCCTCCGCCGGGCGGGCTGCGAGGAGCCCACGGGCCGTGGCGGGAGGCCGCGTCCGGCGCCGCCTTGCCCTCCGACCCCCCCTGCCGGGGGAAGCTGCCCCGCGGTGCCCGGCCAACCTCCCCCTGAGGATGGGGCCGGGGGCTGCAGCCGGGGCGTACGAGAGCGGTGCCGGATTTGCCTCTGCCGCGGTTCGCTCGAAGGAAACGGGGTAGGGTTTTTAAACGGGGCGGGGGGGCGGCAGCGGCCGTGCCCGGGGAACTCCCCCGGAGTCTCCGTGCCGGCCGCGGCGGGACGGCGGCATCCCCCAGTCACAGTGCGGGCTGCTCCCGGCGCGGCACTGCTAAGCGCTGCGCAGTGCCACGGGACAAAGCCACCGCGGAGGTTTACACCGAGCAGCAATAGAACAAAGTGAGCCGGGAACTTCAGGAGATAAACCTAAGGAAAAATGGAAGAACTTCCTGCAATGTACCAACTCCACCTGAAACATTCCTTGCCCTTCCTCTGTTCTCGAAGTGCCTCACTAACAGCTCCTCGCTCCACAAAGAGGTTCTCCCTCAGTGCTTGGCCATGCGCCTGCACCTCGCCGGCAGCACCATCCCTGCCCTGCTCCAATGAAGGCCCTGCTGCCAGGCACCTCGTCACCTGCCAGGTGAAGGGTCACTGTGCTTACAGTGACATTTCCCTACGTGCTTTAAAAAAATGGCATAGTTACAGAATGTAAAGATGACACAAGAGACAGCAGAAGTGTCTGTGGGGATACCGTCTACAGCAGAGACTCTCCGATCAATATTAAATACCGATCGGTATGGACAACATCGCAGACCAATCAATAACATCCATTATTGTACTCAGTTTCCCACTACAAGAATGCAGTTTCTAAGTGAAACTCATCCTTAGGGGCTGCCCGTTCAATGTTAAGGCCTACCTGGACTGGCGGTGCCTGAAGGAGCCTCTGGCAGTGCAGGAGCCGTAGGGTCACAGCAGCACCGATGCAGCTACGTGACTGCCTCTTGCCCGGCAGGCATCATGGGCCATGGCAGCAGGTGTATCAGAAGCACAGCAGGCTGAGGAGGAATACAAAAAGCAACAGGCACTGTGAGAGGGAGCGGGACACTGGGACGTAGCTGTGCTCTCAGTGAACATCTCACGCATTTGTTGCTGTGCATGCCTCACCTATGGTAACAGCTGCACAAACCTAAACATCTGGTGTTGTGGGAGGAGAGAAAAGCGTATTTAATTTGCCTGGTGTGCCATACAGTTTAAAATTATTAATTGGAACTCTGGTTTTCATTTGCCCGTAAGCTCATGAGTGCAATTTTAAACACATATCTCAGTTAAACAAATACTTTCAAACTTGTCTACAACAAAACCGCTCCACAGAGCTTCTCTCATGGCACTGTATCATGCTTAAAATTAATCCACTCAGCAGAAAGTTTTGGCCAGGGAAAGAAAGAAAAAGACTAAATTAAAAAATGGGAAAGGAAACACCAGATAAGGAAGAGAAGGAAGGCGGCGGAGAAGGGGAAATCACTGGGCCAGACAGAAACTACTTCAAGGCATTGGTGGTGACAGCTCCATCCTGGAGTCTGGGAAGCGCATCGCATTGGCTGCAGAGAGCGCATTAAAGTCAAAGCACGGACTCAGGTTCCCTTTTGCTGATTCTTATTTGATAGTGAAGAACTCTGGCAGAGTGGTGAAAGAGAGGGCTGAGGGCTTAATGCCTGAAAGCACCAGAGTTCACCAAAGGACGTCTCTCGGCACACTGAGATATTGCTTTAGACCTTTTTATTTCAGCAATATAAAGTGTGGCTGCAGCAATATCTCGGGGGTTCGGCTGATTCTTATCCTCGCTGAGCTACAGACTTGTGCTTTATCTCAGCAGCTCTTTGATGGAATTATTGTAATTGTAATTCACATTTGTCTATCACTCTGGATCTTAATGGATGCCTAATGGATGACTGGCCCGAGGATCAATAGTACCACGTCTTGTCTACTTGGGATGAGAGAACTGAATGTTAAAACAAATACGCCTACTATGCTAAAGATGCAGAAATATTAAGCAGATCAATGCAAACCAGGTTTGCTGGGAGGTGAGGAGGCCCTGCACGCAGCATGGGAGGACCTGTGGCCCTTCTGCCCGCTCACCCAGCCCTACCAGCACGTGGCCGTGCGCTTTTTAAGGAGCATAATAAATCACACAACATTTTCCACAACTAAGTTCTTTCTAATCTAGCCAGACAATTCTTAAACCTTTAATGAGCTGATGATTGTAAAATCACTTCTGTCTGGGTTTCTGAGCAGTGATCTTCAAATTATGGGTTTGAAACAGCAATAATGGAATGTGTCATAAAAGAGTTCTTCCTCAGTAAGTCTATTATTGTAATAAAATAACATATCTAGTCACCTCTACATTCTACATTAACCCTTTTTATGATAATTATGAGTAAAGCGTATCGCTCATTTCCCTTCAATAAGATTCTCACAGATCACTGAAACAGCAGGCTACATAGACTGAAAGCAAAGTGACACGGACCTTCTTTTTTATCCATGCCAGAAACTTGTTAAGGTAAAATCCACTCAGTTTAGGAATTATTCTTGCCATTTGTGTAAGATTAATTTCAAATTCTGAGTCCTAATTTTGAGTTGCATACATTTGTTTTCACAGAAATGTATGTACCAATGAGACAAGTGCACATGAAATGCCATATTCCTGTGCTCCCATATCCACTGTTATCACAGAACTCACAATCACACCACAACACCCACACAAACACCTTGAAAATGCGATCACTAGAAATTAATCAGGATGATTTATAGATCCCATTTTAAAATTACTCTTAAATAGTTGCACAAAGCTAACCCACAGCAAGCTGAAAGCCTTCATACTCAGTGTCAGAATGTGTGATATGGAGGAGGCTGCAAAGAACTTTCATTCCTAGAAGTCACACATTATGTGTGCTGAAGCTATAGGCATGTTCATTCATTTTAATGCTTTTAACAGAATTGGATCATAAAAAAATCATGTTGTTAACACCACCAAAACAAAGTTCTGATAACATTTTAAGAGGTAAAATCAAGGGATATTTTTAAATATGTAGTAAAGATGAAGACATCCTAAAACAATATAACAGTGTTGATTAAAGATTATGGATTTCATTGATATTAGTACTAAAAAAGTCAAAGGAACTTGAGATCTTATCCTATTCATGTGAGTAATCTGTCCCAGACTGACTACATGCACTTTTATTACATACTTCATGTCACTTCCATCTGCATCTGATTTTTGTAGTTCATAAACATTTATGCTTCTTTTATAAACAACTCTTGAATTACATGAATTTGGTTGAGATTTCTTTAAACTATGACCCCAGTATTACCTGTTCCACAAGTTTGTTGTATTTATCTCTTCTCCACCATAACTCAGTTTCAAAGGAGAGGCAGCAAGTACAGAGTTGTGTACATAAGCAAGCCTGAAATCCTGTATGTTTTCATTATCTCTGTTCTCTTTTGAAATCTGGCATTAAAGAAAAGTCAGCTAGAAAATATTAAGTTCAGTGACATACATAATTTGTTTCAATCTCACATGGTTTACTGCTGGCTTTACTTTTTAAGAGTTCATATTGCACCACCACACAATGCTTTCTGGCTGGATTTAATAAGGTTTACATTTAGTGACAACAACACTCTTCCTGAAAGGGAAGAAGAAAATTCTCAAGGGTACTTTTGTACTGACCTTAACACTACTCCTGTCTTGATCTATCATAGATCATTACTAAACTTCAGAGGGAGCTGCTTTCCTTATTCTTCCTTAGGAATTTGTTATGCATGTATTCTATGAAGAGCTGAAGAGAACCACTGTAATTCACATCTGTTTTATTAAATGTGACAGGAATATATATAAGCACCTTCGTATGACAGGAAAGTGAATCCAGGTATGTGATGGAAAAATACTATAATAAGGTCTCCAATGTACAGGTTTTTCCAAAGAAAATGCAAAGCTGTGATATTCCTTTGTGGCACTATGATGTTCAATAAAAGCTTGTATTTATAATCTGGTTTGCTTGATACGAGTAGCAATTACACTGGGGTAATTGCTTGAAAAATAGAATAATTTTCTCTTGAAAGGGCCATCCTCTGTAACTATTATCAAGGCAGCATTAATTGCATCTTCATTTTTTATACTTAACTCTTAACAAAACGGAAAGGTCCACATAACCTGCTCCATTAAGTACGTAAATTAGGACTCCTGATTATTGAATGGTGTTACTGAGATCAGAGTTTTGAATCATACAGAATAATTACAGAAGAAGATCAGAATTGTCTTCATTTCTAATCTTTGTGGAAATAACTTAAGGAAGCTTATCAGAGTTGTTTATCAAAATTGTTAAACTGCACTTTACAAATAAGTTCCATTGCACAGCATGTCATTCTGAACAATAGAGAAAGTCAGGCCAAAAGCAGCACTGTTTCATTTCTCTCTTCTTTTTGCCTTTAAATATTTTCATCATGATTCAGTTTCAAATGTGTAATCTCATGGCACTGCTTCGTGCCAGCAATTATGTCCATTGTTTCACAAGGTAGTAGGCTGTCAC